ATTCGATGATTCACTTCTTTTACATTAGACAATTTTATCCCACAGTTGAGTTAACAAGATGATTTGTAGCACCGCTGTTAACTACAAAGTTAACTTCACTTTTTCCTGCTGCATAACAAGCCAATGTTCGTGCCTCTGATTCAAATTTAGAAATAAATGCAACTTCATCACTTTCACTATTATTTTCGCTTTTAGCCCAATGAGATTGTCCTCTACTATTTTTTAACTTAGGTCTACCTTCTTATGCCCCTTTTTACCAGAACCATAACATCTAAATGGAAAGTTCTTTTCATTTTCCTTCTTTTTCCAATTTTGTTCCCTTGGATTAAAATTTGGCTCTCATATCTTAATGTTCTAAGTGTTCTTTGTACTTGGTTGACTATGCCAGACTTTGTATATGTCCCACTTAATTCTGATAACATTTCCTTGGCAGTAGCCTTACCTTTCACCATCTCGAGTATATTATCAGCCAAACTATTGACTATCAAGTTACGAGTCTTGACATCATCCTTTTTAAATTTTACATACCTACTCAGATGATTGCTCGTCAAACGGATCCTTTGTCAGCACCTCCAAAACTCCATAATGCTCGAGAAGCAACTTCATTCTGAATTCCCAATTAGAAAATCCTTTCTCATCAAATGATTTTATCTATACTGGGTACTGTTTACACATATTTCTTTTCTTGACACTGGACACTGGATGAGTTCCTCTTCACTGTAACTGCAATCTTCTGTGGACAAGGTTTTTCAAATTTACTTACACCCTTTTTACCCTTTCCAGTCAGCTTTATCTGGGCCCGTAACCTTTTGACTATTTACCTTCTTCCACGCAGACCAAGAACCAAGAATGAACTATGGATTAATCGGTTAGGTGTCCTCTAGCTTCCAGCATTTAAAATAAACGCAAATTTCCAAGAACAGTAAAAGCGTTTCTATTATGAACAATCAACATATTATCAACCTAACCTAACTAAAACAGTGTATTCAGAAAACTTAATCTGTTGGAATTGTTTACTCCAACAGTCATCTGATAGAAGTGGGCAACATTCAAAACCTAAGTCTAAGAGCCACGAAAAAATTAATACAAAATAAGTACCTATCTAATAATATAATATTCTCACATTCTAGAAAATTAAAAAGTCATTCCCGGGAATATAATGCCACCATATATAACGTTTACCGCAATTTTTTTTCTTTAAAGCCCCGTTTAATTCTCATGGGTTAAAAGACCATAAAGAGTGACCCGTGGTATGCGGGCAAACAATTTATAAAGAAGGTCAAGACGTGAGGTCGCCTAAGAATGGGACATGACTCGCAAGGTGTTTGGGTACTTAGGCCACTATTTATAGGAAGTTATGAGTTTTTATAGAAGCGGTTCTAGGTGCCACCTCCTGAAAAGCCTGTTTTGGTAAATTTGTCTAAAGTAGGTATATGAAAGGTTTATTTGGGAATGAGTTTTCTTAATTGCCTAACATAATGTCCGCGCCTAAAGAATTTTCATTTAATTCTCACAGTTTTTTAATGTAAATGAACTTTGTCAGACGAAGCAATATTGACTTAAACAAAGACACCAAGATGTATTTAAAAATAATTTAATGCCTTTTTAATCCCTTGTGTGGGTCGCCATATTTTCATTAATATTAATGGTCGAGCGCCATTGTTCTTAATGGTTCTTAATGCGGTGTTACTGTTTTTATTAAAACTATCTCTTTCGATTATATACATCCTGTTAAGTTAGAGGGAACCTTAAAATCATCTGCTGATGGTCAATATCGATAGGATTTTCCAGCGATATTGATTATTTACTTTTTGGAACTGAATAGAGAAAATGCCAAAAGTTTTAGGTTTATGGTTGAGAGCTTACCCAAGAGGTGAATGCTCAAGAATAGGCCAGGACCACCTACAGGTCAATAATTTCATCCAACACGCTTGAAAGTTATTTTTCTTGCGGTGTCCTATTGCACTTAGTCATCCAGTCCAAACTGCATAAGCCATAAATTTTTCTGCCAATAAACCTCACCGATTTTAATTAACTCGGTTTCGAATTATACCAGAATTATTGCAACATACTGGTTTTGACTGTTTACTTAATGGAAGGAAATGTAGATGTATCAATACGAACGATAAATGTCAAAATTAATTTGACTCACTATAGGGAGCTGGTTTATAGTTGGACAAGGTATATCGGGTAACATTGCCAACAAAAATTTTGAAGGTAACTCAATCGTGGGTATTTTAATTATTGAATTTTTATTTGCTTCGGTTCTCGGGAAGGCTATAATTGAGATATGGATACCTACCGATAGCGAGTACTGTATGCGAATTAAAAATTGTTCGAGTTTTTGAAATTGAGTAGGTAATCTAATATCGTCGCTCTTACTGGTCCAGGAAAAATATATACACTTTAATTTATATCAGGAAATATTGATATTCTACCTAATTTTTTTTAAACAAGTCAATATCGGGAACACACACTCCTAGACTATTAAACACAAGGGGTAAACTGTTCAACTTTTAGGGGGGAAAATAAAACATGTGAGGTCGATTTGATAACTCGCAAAAGACTGATTTCTATTATGTCAAACAATAAGTGTCAAAATATAGAAACAATAGTTGCAAGTGGACAATGTTGCCAACTTATCAATATGTTTAGGTACAATATCAACACTCCCACTTATCTTAACAATATTAAGATTATTTAGTTTCATGCTCATGTTTGTCATAAACCTAGTTCAGCCTACGTCTACGAACGAACATCTATGAGACTAGTGACAAAGATGAATATGACGTATGGAAGAACAGAACGTGTAAGTACGGTATTAGGTACGCTGTCGATACTAAACCTTTTCGCTAGTGAAGCTAATTGCCGAAAACGCTGGCTCAATGCACCTTCGCAAACAAAAATAATAAACAACGTAGGTCCTATTTGTTTTTCATTTCATTTTTCAGAAGGTTTGTTGTTCAAAGGTAATAAAAATTCACTCCGATTTATCTTGCTGAACGAACCCGGGTATGTTATACTACAAACGCATGCGCAAGTCAATTGGTGGCGCCTCTACCGGGCATGAAACAAGTTAATTATCGAACTAAGTGGTACATTCAAAGATCGCGGGGTATGATTTGTTTATTGTGAATGAATTGCCCGATGATAGAAAATTGAGTTATTTCATAACCTCAATTGGCCCAAAGGCGTATGAAATTTTAAATAATCTTTTAGCCCCTCAGCCACCTACTGCAGTTAAGTTTGAGTAGGCTATAGCCAAACTGGAAAGTTATTTTCTCCTGTGACTCTGGTGATCGCAGAGCGATTCAAGTTTTATAAAGAAATTCTCAAACCACAAAAGCTTGTTATCTTTGTGGACGTTGGCTTGGTCCCTGACACTCCCAGTGAGAAATTGTCGTTGTAAACCTTGTGTATTGGAAGGTCACATCCAGAAAATGTGTAAGAAGCCTAGGGAAGTTAAAGGATTGACATCGGCCACATCATCACAAGAAGAACCCGAGTCGTTACCAGAAAAATGGGAGGAAGATGAAGACCCTATAGAAGTTCTCAATTCGTTGATGGTAAATAGCCCTTTATCTAAAAACATTTTAATAAACGGTAGAAACATTGAAATGAAAGTTGATACGGGCGCCAGTGTGTCTGTCATGTCAGATTATGATTTTTTTGATAAAAATCAACATGATCTCTCTCAAAATTTCGAAGAGTATATTCGGCCAAGGAATAGTTGTTTCTTTTTGGACACGGTGAATGAACCAAACAAGGTTCACATTTTTTAACAAACTGTTCAAAATCATGATCAATTAAAGGCCACCAAACTTCACCTCTAGCAAGCATCTTCATTCTTATCATCCCTACATGTTGCCCGTGAAAAAGCTCAGTAGACAAGTTTCCTCACTTCGTCCGCCGGAATTTTTGAATAGGCACAAAAATACTTCATGTACGAACTTGAGAAGATTCATTGATGGTCAAAGACTATTAGTGTTGATCTACTTGGGCAATTCAAAAAAATGGGTACAAAAAGTTGTAAGCTAAACTACCTACCTGGTTAATCTAGATAATGAGATTAGGTATGTGCATATTGACCAAATAGAACCATTTTTGGAAACAAGCAATGATCCATTGTTGCCAATACACAAGAGTCAATTGCAACAGGAACATTCCTTCGATTTGCCATATAATAGAAATCAAATACTTCCAAGTTTTTAGGGAACTCAAGCGAGCCTAGTGTTCCAAATGCAGCGATACCATCAACTCTTGCTGTGCTTGGAAAGTGTGATACAGAATAGTGAACCTCATTCTCCTGGTATGTCCGTAGTAACTGGTAGGTACTAGTGGTTCTAAAAAAATTGTTGGTGTAGAAGAGCAGGAGGGTAATTTAGATTTGAGTAACAGTACTTCATGGTCAGGTAAACCTAAAATGTCTTTAACAATTCAACTAATCACCGACAGACCTTATGTAACCCGATCAGGGAGACTCATACAAAAACCTATTAAACTTAATTTGTAAGAATTATTACTCGGAATTATATTTTTGTTTTTTTTTAATTTCATTTGTATTGTGAGAATTATGTGTTTTATTTGGAATGTATTCTTTGGTTTACTGCTATCAAATCATATCATATAATCATAAGAATCTATATATATATAAAACACAGTTGGGTTTTGTGTAAGCACTTATAACTCGAGAACGGCTGGACTGATTTTTATGATTTTTGCTTTATTGGATTTGTCTTTGTCTATCCTAACATAATAAATCGAAAAAATCGAAAAAAAAAAACAAAAAAAAAATTACTTTTTTTACTTATTTATGAAAAAAAATTAATAAGCCCGCATACGGCGCCATCTCTTATAACCGATACCAAGTTTACCGTCACATTTTCATTGCAAACCATGTGGATTTTATTGTCACAAACTTTGCACAAAAACAATTTGAGGAAAGCACTTTACTTTCAATTGTTCTTCACAATAAAAATGTCCAAAAATTAATAGAATTACAATGTTTTAATTGTGTATTTTATTTTGTTGTTGGTCCATTCCGAAAGAGCGCGAACTGGTCTTCCTGTCATTTCTTGACGCTTGACCATTGACCTTCTGTGGCTAAGTTCCGTTTCTCTTCTCAGGCATCCCTTGACAGCCGTGTTTCGTGCCGACTGTTCGGAGTGCTCCGTCCGGCTGGTGTCGAGTGGCAGAGAGCCAGATGTTATCATCATACTCGCCTATTTCTTGTTTCTGGTGACATATTCAACACTTCTGGCTCCGTAGCTTCAGAAATACATCTTTTTTTTTGGCATCTGTTTTTTTTGTCAACATAATCAGAATCCTCGTCAGAAACACTACTATTGTCGTCACTTGAACTGCTAGGTACGTACTCATCGGAAGAACCGTTGTCAGAAAAATCTATTAGAAAAAAAGTTATGTATGTAAGTAAAATATCAGGCAAAAGTAAATATACCAAAATATTTGGTGGGCGTGACGTTGGTTAGACTAGGGACTGCAGAATATTCGATAGGAATTCCGTCATCAGTATTCGTAAGCATAGTCTCAGAATGCATTTTTTCACAACCTGCAAAGAAATATTTTTAAGCAATATAATATTGCACATACATTGAAAATTACTACCAGGTATAATCTCTCTGGCAGGCGTCACATTCGATATAATAGTATCAACAGTTTCTTCTACAATAATAGGAGTCTGTTCGTTGTATTGACATTTTTCCCATGGGATTTCTACTATCATATTTTCATCTTCGTTGGCACAAAAAGATGAGTTATTTAAATCTGAAAAGTAATTTGCCTTGAACGTGAATAGGTATTTATTTTAGAAATAAATCAAATCCTACGAAGAGAAGGTAAGTTTTTTGATTTTGTGCTGCATGGACCAGGGCTCTCACATTTCTCGTCTTTGGTGTTGGAATCTTTAAGAAATTGAAAATAGTCTTAAAGAAGGCTATAGTAGAGATAAATTAAATATGATTCAACAAACTTTACCAAACCATTCGTCACATAGAGTACCTAATACCTAATATTTTGTTTTTTTTATTTAGTAATAAAAACTTACCATTGAAAGCGTTTCTTGCGCGTTCTAATATTAGCTTGGTTCTCTTTGACATCGTTAGCAGAGATTTTCACACACTCACTAACTCTTAATGTTGATAAAATATTCAGCATCAGCAAATGAAATATCACAATAAAGGTAAACACCAAATAACATAACCTCACTATTTGGTGCTATGTACAGTTTTTCTAATACTCACATAAAATTTATAGATTTTCTGATGGATAAAGGATTTAAGTACAATAGTTAGTGGATGAAGGATTCATGATCAAAAAATGATGGTACATAGACCCTTTATCCATTAAATTTATCAAAGAATCTGTACATAAATCCTTTATCAGTTCTGTAACTTTGCTATTTTCAAATTTTTTCGAACGAAACCTATACCAATGGAATTCTAGGCACTTAAAACCTTCATCCACTGAAAAAAATCAATTTTTAAAAAAATGTACGTAGATCCTTTATCCACTTATATCTTCAATTATGTTCCAATGAAAGTTTGTTCAGCAATTTTTAGTCTTCGTTACTCAAGTCAGAAGCATGCAAATACCTAGTTACTGGGATCAAAATGAAAATGAAGTTGTGAATCATCTGCGTAAGCCTGCACTTTGTAATGTTTCAATGATTTTAAGATAGATATCAGAAGTAGGTATATACAATAAAAAAAGTAACCCCAAAATGGAACCTTGAGGTATACCTGACAATATTCGAACTTTTTCAGAAGACTTATCTTTATAAATTATTTTTTGAAATCGCTTTGAAAAGTATGACAGAATTAAATTGAGGGATGGTTCAAGAACACTATAGTACTTTAACTCAGCCAATAAAAGGTTATGATTGATCGTATCAAAAGCCTTGGAAAAATCTAAAAGTACTAGCGCAGTATTCAGTCTTTCAGCCCAAGCTGTAATTATGTCATCAGTAACTGTGACTAATGCTACAGAAGTACTGTAGTCTTTTCTGAAACCACACTATGAGTTATTATTAACACAAAAATTGAACATTTGACTATATAGAAATTTTTCAAAAATTTTAGAGAGGACAGGTGAGCTGCTAATAATTCTGAGATCACTGAAACTTAACGGGTTTCTGGTTTTGGGCAGAAGTTTACCAATGGAAATCTTCCATTCATCAGGAAAATAACTTGCCTCTATACAACAGTTAATCAAATGGGTAATATATAAATCAATGAATGGGCTACAGTATTTTATCATTATTGATGAGATATTATCGACGCCAGAGGCATTTTGTTCGAAAAGAATGAACAATTTTGTTAATTTCATCTGATGTAGCCATTTTAAATGGAAATGTCAGGTTATCAGCATTCAGCAAAAACACTATTTCTATAAAAATCAATCTTTGTACTACAGTCTGAAACATTTTGCAAGAATGAACCGAAAAAGTTGTAAATATCATTTGGATCTGACATGTTTTCAGGGAAATGAAGATTTTTATCAGAACCTATATTGAAAGAATTCAAGGCCTTCCAAGTTCTTTTATAATTATTCTCAGCGCACAAAGTATTTAGATATTGCCTCTTCTCCCTTCTTAGTCTTACCATCGAAACAGTGATATTTTTCAAACGTTTATAGTTTTCCCAGTCATCATACGACTGTAGTGCACCATCTCTTTGTTTCATAAATTTTTAAGATTCGGTGTAAGTGTAAGCCATGGTGTTTTATTTTTAGTGAATTTGGAAGTTTTGTATCCTTCTACAAATCGTCTGTAGTATGTACAAAACTCAAGAAAACGTCGATGCCATTCACGAATTGCTTGGGTTGTCCTTTCGGCAGTATGAATTCCTTCGGGTGAATCTACGTGGCCAAGAAAATCAACGCGCTGTTAGAGCAGTGGAGATTATGAGTAAATACTTTTTCTAGGTTCCGTATTTGCTCATCGAAAGTTCTTCTCATCACTAACACATCATCCAGGTAGACAAGGCATACTTTCCACGTAAGTCCTCGTAGTACGATTTCCATCAACCTTTCAAAAGTATCGGGGGCGTTACAGAGTCCAAAAGGCATAACATTGGATTGGTAAAAACTACTTCTTAGTGGAGAACGCTTCTTTTTGTCTTTTTCGTCAATGCCAACTTGTCAGTATCCGCGTTTTAAGTCCATAGTAGAAAACCAATTTGAATCTGTATTGTAAGTATCGTACATTTTGGATAATGGGTAGCTGTCTTTCTCAGTTAAGCTTTCTGTAATCGACGATTTGGAAAACAACAACTTACCAGGACAAGATGGAATGCTAAAAGAAGGAAAATAGTATATCCCATCAACAGTGAAGGGACTTTACTATGCCTCGAGAAGTGGGAAAGTACTAGAAATATAAGAGCCTCGTAGTTGTATAAAGAAACTACAATCATCTGCCGATGGCAATAGGGTACTCTTTCAACTCAAGGGCTACAGTGACTAGTCAGTTGGGAAGCGAATCTATCTTGGACAGATACTGAAACTTGATAAAACCACCAAATAGCAGAACTTGAACTATAGGTTAAAACTAGCAGGCAGGGCCGTATCTAGGGGGGGGTTTTGGGGGTTCAAACCCCCCCCGAAAAATATTAAAATTCAAAAAATTTAACTTAGAAACAAACAAAACTTATTAAATACTTATTTATTTATTTTTTATTTTTATTACTAGTGTAACAATTTTTTTTTGCCACTTTGCCTAACCCCCCCCAAAATTTTGGTCTAGATACGGCCCTGCAGCAGGGGCTTTTGACTCTTGGCAAGCTTTCATGGATACCAAGGAACCAAAAGATCCACGTTTACCTGAGAAGGTGAGAAAGAAAGATTATATATACAGATAGAACTTAAAACTGATACATGGGAGGCTTTAGGTACACAGATGATATGCACTGGTTTTTTATTTATTTGTTTAGCTCTTTTCTTTCTACGGTGCGGACTTGAGCATCTTACTCCGAACAAATAGAGTGCTCAAATTCGGCTGATGAATACGTGTTTCCAAAAGAACTGAACGTTTGAAGCTTATTCACATTTTATACTGGTTGGGGCTCGTTGAGTATGAATAGGAGAAGTTCGTAATCTAAATTTCAAAAGTTCAAAAAGACACACAATGTGAAACGTGATATATAGTCACATTCACGAGAAAGTTTGAATTTTGACCGTTATTTTCACCAGTTGAAAATAAATAAAATCCCCAGATCTGTCCCTTTTTCTGACAACGTTCTGTGCTGACAACTATCAAATAATGATACATGACATTTTGCTTTGACACATAAAAATAACAGATTTGGGTCTTTGAATTTTGAATTTCGAATTTTTGTGTGAAATCTTATAGTTTTTTGCCGTTTTCTGCATTATTTTTTTATTTGTTAATATCGCAATCGGTTTTTTGGTTTTTTATGTAGTGTTCTGTGCCTTTGTGTTTCGGTGTTGCGTTTCAAACCTGACTTTTGTATGGATTTAAGTGTTTACTCTTATTATAAGTGTTTACTTTAGACTCTAATTTTAGGATTTTTGGATTTTAATAACTTAACTTCGTTTAAAGAAATTGAAAATAAATTTTTATTCTGAAATGTATATCACTTTCTAAATACGACCCTGTCGTGTATTCCAGCTGACGGAATCGAAGCGCTAACGCATGCTGACAACCTAAAGAAAAAATTTACTAAAAATGTCAACGCGAACTGTCAACTTCACTTTCTATCGTGATTTAGTCTATACCTACTTAAGGCATAATGACATGAATATGAAGTATGACAATAAGCTGTTGCTTGGTAAGCCCAATAAGGATTTATCTATGAAATGTTTCAATATTTCAAATATTCAAACAATAATAATAAGCAATAATAATTTTAAAAAAAACTAATCTGCTGCACCGATCTTTGTTAATAATAACAATAATTACATTTAACGAGCCAAGCTCGGTCGAAACTGAAATATGTATAATAATTTCAACACGCTATCCATTTCCATGGTGCTATGTATGCTTTGGTCAAATAGATGACCTGCCATAGATATTAACAATTTTCCTATTTCCGCTTTTTTTTTAAGTCATGCAACGACAATTTTTTCAAAGAATCATAGGTAGACTTTTTAAACTCCTACAAATAATTTTCAAGATGCCGGTTATGCTGATTTTATTACTTAGTGCGCGATCAATAAAACGTAATTTATGGAAAAACAGCTGCTAGCTTGACTGGACAGAAACTTAAACTGAATGTACTTTAAATTTATTGAATCGTTATTATTCCTTTATAAATTTACAAACGAATAGTTTTATTGTTTTTAGAGTTTGAGGACACAAACGTATACTAGCGTTTTTTTAATCTTGAATATCAAAGAAAAAAGTGTCAAAGGTTTTTGACTAATTACCAGAAATCTTTTGGTAGTCGTGTTATGCACGAAAAGCACGTCCGAATGACAATAGCCCCATTTTTTGCGTGATTCGTTTTTTCAGTTTTTCCAACATGAAATTTCATGTTTGCCATCATTGATTTGAACACAGAGACATGTAACATACCTTCTATTGTTTGTATTGTATTTCCATATTTTTTTCCGTTTCAAAAAATCATCAAAACAGGCGGAAAATTTAATTACTCATTCAAAGATAAAGTTCCTTTAAAAGGTATCTCTTTGTAATTTTTATCAGTTAAAGCCCGAGACCCCTTACAATCGGCTATAAATCTTCGATTAACATTTAAACTGGGCTTTAAGGAGCCAATTAATTAAGGAACACACAGAAAGCAAAAGGAGCAAAAAGTACAAAAAAGCAAAACGAAGAGAAGAGAGGCGAATTGATTTAATTAAACGTTGATATTCTTAATTGATCTCTTGAAAGGGGAAGCTTTTCGAGGATTTGTTGGTTTTTATATTTGGAGATTCAATTGAGTGGATTGAATTATGAAATACCATTACCCAATTCAATAATTTTAGGTCAAATTTTTACATAAACGAATAAGAAAAGAATATTTCTTTCAGTGTCGGGCTTCGTTTGTGCAGTGTCTAGAACCTCTTACGTTTTGCTCTCACTAATTGGATACTAACGATTTCAATTCACTTTTTTTCCTGAAATTTTCACTATAATTTA